ATTTCTGAAGAAGGGTCTCAGCCCGAAACATCAGCCTTCCTGCTCCTCTGATGCTGCTTGGCCTGCTGTGTTCATCCAGCTCTACATCTTGTTATCTCAGACCTGGAGAGCATCTAGGTTTAGGCTGACAAGTGACAGGTAATATTTGCACTATACAAGCTGCAGGCATTGACCATCTCCAACAAGAGATAATCCAGTCATCACCCCTTGACATCCAATAGATTATCATCATTGAATTCTCCACTATTAACATTGTGGGATAATCATTGACCAAAACTGAACTAGACCAACTAGACCAACTATGAAAAGAACGGAGTACAGATGCAAGTCAGAAGCTGGGAATTCTGTCATAAATAACTCGTATTCAGACTCCTCAATGTCTGTCCACCATTTACAAGGCAGGAGTATGATGGAATATTGTTCATTTGCCTGGATTTATGCAGCTCCAAAAATGCTCAAATGTTTTGACACTATTCACAGCCAAGAAACCTGCTTGATTGGTTCCCTGCAACCGCAGGAAGTGCTACACCTGCCCCCACACCTCCTCCCTCACCCCCATCCCAGGCCCCAAGAAGACTTTCCACATCAAGCAGATGTTCACCTGCACATCTGCTAATGTGGTATACTGCATCCGCTGTACCCGTTGTGGCCTCCTCTACATCGGGGAAACCAAGCAGAGGCTCGGGGACCGCTTTGCAGAACACCTACGCTCGGTTCGCAATAAACAACTGCACCTCCCAGTCGCGAACCATTTCAACTCCCCCTCCCATTCCTCAGACGACATGTCCATCCTGGGCCTCCTACAGTGCCACAACGATGCCACCCGAAGGTTGCAGGAACAGCAACTCATATTCCGCTTGGGAACGCTGCAGCCCAATGGTATCAATGTGGATTTCACAAGTTTCAAAATCTCCCCTCCCCCTACCGCATCCCAAAACCAGCCCAGCTCGTCCCCGCCTCCCTAACCTGTTCTAGCTCCCACCTATCCCCTCCTCCCACCTCAAGCCACACCCCCATTTCCTACCTACTAACCTCACCCCACCCCCTTGACCTGTCCGTCCTCCCTGGACTGACCTATCCCCTCCCTACCTCCCCACCTACATTCACCTTTACTGGCTCCATCCCAGACTCTTTGACCTGTCTGTTTCCTCTCCACCCATCTTCTCCTCTATCCATCTTCTATCCGCCTCCCCCTCTCTCCCTATTTATTTCAGAATCCCCTCCCCCTTCCCCATTTCTGATGAAGGGTCTAGGCCCGAAACGTCAGCCTTCCTGCTCCTCTGATGCTGCTTGGCCTGCTGTGTTCATTCAGCTCTACACCTTGTTATCTCAGGTTCTCCAGCATCTGCAGTTCCTACTATCTCTGATTGGTTCCTTATCCAATTAAAAAATTCATTCCTTCCTTCACTAATGCACAGTCAGCAGTAGAGTGTACTATATGCTGAAGGTACTACAGCACCTTTCAAACTTACAACCTCTACAAGTTACTAGGGTAATAATAGCACACACGCGGGAAGGGCATCACTATACATTCCCCTCTAAACTACACAGCATTCTGACTAGGAACTATTTTGCCATTCTTCCACTGTGGTGGAATCAAAATCCCAGAACTCCTTTCCCAGTAGCACTGGACACTTACCATTGCCAGCAGCTCATGAGGCAAGTATCAATCATGTCAACAAGAGTGAATTCGAACCATCACCTCTTGACATTCAATGGCATTATTATTGCTGAATCCCCATTATCAACATGCTGGAAGTTACCATTGATTAGAAATGGAATTAAACCAGCTTTTTAAATAATATGGCTGCAAGTATAAGCCAGGGCTAGGAATTCTGCTGCAAATAATTCACCTTCTGACTCCCCAAGTCAGTCCTTCATATACAAGGTACAAGTCAAGAATGTGATGGAATTATTTCCATCTGCCTGGATTGATGCAGTTCCAACACTAATCAAGATGTTCAACACCTACTTGATTGGCATTCCATCCACCACCATCAACATCCACCACCAGTGTACTTTGCCAATAGTGTACCATCTACAACCTGTGCTCTATAGCTTCGTCGACAGCACCTTCCAAATTTGAATTTAGCAAGACAAGGGCAGCAGAGGGATGGGAACACCTCCACCAGCAAGTTCCTCTCCAAGCCATACAACATATGATTGAAACCACATTGCCACTCCTTCATTGTCACTGCATCAAAATCCTGAAACTCCCTTTCTAATAGTACCATGGATGTCCCTACCTCCTCAAGGACTGCAGCAGTTCAAGAAGGCAACTCACAACCACCTTCTCCAGGGAAATTAGGGATGGAAATAAATAATGGCCTAGCCAGCGAGACCCACATCCCATGAATGAATAACAAAAAGGCAGATGATGTCAAGATTATTTCATTGATGTTGTCGGAGTTTGCTATGCATAAATTGACCGCCACTCCACTAAAACAGTGACTACACTTCAAAAGTACTTCATTGGCAGTAAATGCTCTCCAATGCCTTGAGTTCATGAACAACACAATGAATATGTAAGTCCTTTCTTTGTTTTGTGGTAAGTTTACTGGGCAATTAATGTTCAGATCCAGAAAATTTCTTCAAAATCACTAGGAGGGCTTGGTTGAGATACCACTCTGTGAAGACAACAGCATATTTCAACCATCACATTCTAGAAGTTCACAACTCACATTGTCTCTGTTCATCCCACAAATTGACCGGTATTGAGATAAAGGATCAGCCATGATCATATTAAATGGCAGAGCAGCCTAAATTGAATCAATATATTTCTATGTATTATATATTTATATATTAATAACAGCATTTATGATCCACACTCTTATATTCTCAACAAGCTCTAGTGCATAGATTTCACCAACCAATCAAAATAAGAAAATGCCAAATATGTTATTGCCATTTTGTTTTATTGTCAAACATGGTAACTGGACAAGTTAATACATCATCAAAATTATATATTTTTCATTTTTTCTTTTTTTTTACAAACAGTAAAATAGGCTTAGCGTGCCTTGTACTATTTGACCTCATTCGCACTCGCATTCACTCACACTCTCAGTGTACTGATTAATATTTCATCAAAGAGAAAAAAACAACATCGAAGAACTTCTGAAAATTCGCACAAAGACTTTGGTCGAATACACTTTTCTGACACTGTCACCTAGGGCAGCAGTAAAGATACCACAAAATGTGACAATAGACAAAATAAAAAAAATTAAGTGTTAAGTTTCGTTAATTTTTTATGCTTCTCCTTACCACTAAAGAGCAACAGCAAATGTTCCTTTGATAAGGCATCTAAATCTCATATAATAAATGGGCCATTTTTAATTTTAAAAAAAAATCATTTCTCACAACCAAAAGCTACAACAGCAAAGGTTTTAAAATTCAGGAAAAAAAGAAACACTGCACACCAGTGCATAAAAAATTTAGGAAGAAAACATAACCACAGGTTAAACAGTTCAAATTGCTTTTTAATCGCCTTGCGTGCTAGTGTCTATGTAGGGTTGTGTGTGTGTGTGTGTGTGTGTGTGTGTGTGTACAGTGACATTGTAACATTTATAAATGTTAGGGATACAGAAAGGTTCTGTGTCTGAAAGAGCCAAAGAGTTTCTCAATCACTTTTTTAAAAAAAAAAGCAGTCCACCTATTCGTGGTGAGGGCAGTCTGCTTCACTTCCTAACATGGATGAACGCTGCATGCACGGATTTCTTTCATGTCCTTACAGCTGGTGATCTGGGAGGTACGATATTTTCTCTTAACGACCATGAACCGTTCCTGAATGCCTCCCCCGCAGAACTTGCTGCAATCAGTCCATGCTGTCCACGGTCTCATCTTGCATCCTAAATAAATGGGAGGCAGTTAGTAGCACTGAAGGCAAGTCAAAACTGAATCAAACTTACAGCATCAAAAGAGGCTATGTCTAAACAACTGGCTTGGACAACATCAACAATTGGATAACACCACTCCAATAACATATGATCTGAATGCTACCCCCTATGTTAGTCCATATAACAAATATCATAAACAATGGCTTCTTGTTGAGGTACTGGTTTTGAATTTTATTAAGAACACAAATTACTTATATTGTTATAAGATCTTAGACTTGCATATTGACTGGGTCTATGCTTACTGATATTACAACTACAATTCTTGGTTGTAACACTACACATGGCTGATTGACCACACACTGCACTGACTCAGTTGCATTGACTCCACTGCACTGCCCAGTGAATGTGAGGTGAGGACCTTTATGCCAGAACATCATACGTTGTGTTTTCATCTAACTAATTTGTAAATATCCTGTGCACTGGTACAGTGTAGAAGGTACATTGTCTGTCTTGTCTGGAATCTTTCCAATGAGACAACATCTTCAATCAGGCTCGTCTGTACCCATCTCTGATTTTGGAGAAAGATCTCCAGCTTGTTCAGGCTCCATTGATAGCTGTAACTTCTCAGTTTTGGTATCATCCTTATAAAAACAATGAGGCAAATTTTTGTTTATAGGGGAGAGGCTTTCTCATCTCATGTCTGCATCTATGTAGACTCGATGATAGAGATTGATCACTGTGATGAGCCAATAACTCCCTTATTATTATGAAATGTGATTACTACGATGGTTAAAAAAATATGAACTCAATGAACATTGGACATTTTTGCCTCATAATTCCAATTGATAAATATTCAGCACTGTCAATTCATTATATTGAAATCAGTGGGATGAAAATCTAATGAATTTTGCCATGGACAGACAAGCTATTCCACTAGATTACCAACGAGACACCTTGAATGCAATAGTAAAAATTAACTTATTGAAAAGAAATGTGAAGGAACATATGAACCTCTAAATCAAAATTAAAAACACAAGGTCCAGCTAATTTAATTTCTTCTGTGCTGGTAATCACAAGGTACAATGATAATGGATTTGTAGACTAATCATAGCTCATTCAATACTCAAAATGTTATTTTAGGAGTAAAGCAACATCTGAATGCCATTCAGTCTCTCAATTCAGTTCTTTACTCTGTGTGTTGACTGATAATATGACCATCAGTCCTACTAAGGATTATTTCAACTCAAAAGACCAAAAATATTTTCAAGGAAACTGGAGTCGATTAGAAGATTACAAAAAATAATTTATGTAATGTTGCTGCTGAGCTAAACTGAAAATAAATTTTGTTGAATGCAGATTAGATCACATGTTTCTGTTAAGCATTATGTAGAGGATCAGCCAAGTTCTCGCTGAAAGAAGAAATAGGTTCAAAGGGCTCTATTGTTCTTATGTTAGGTGTAGCCGTACATTGGAAAAATGGAAGCAAGACATTAAAGAAAAAAAATTTCCTGTTCCCTAATGCTACATTTGTTTCTGGTTATTGTTTCTCAATTTGAAATAGTTCCGAATTCACATATGATTGAAATGTTAACCATTTAGCTTCTTTGTGCAGACAAAGGAAGACTAGCCTGATTGCAACCATGGTTAGTTGGAGGACTACAGCATTGCATTTTATCTGTCCAAAACCTGTGGAGAAAAATTATGATAGTGGAGACAATATAAATGGTAGAACTAGTGCAAGACCTTGCTCCAAGTCTTTTGCTGAAAGAAACATGTAGGACTGTACATACCTTTGAAGGCTCCTGGCATGTATTACTGTACAAGATTACAGACACTCCATTCATTAAACTGCTAGGTTAAGACAATTCTCAATTCTCAAAATTATGTCTTGAACTGATAAACTCTGACTTGGTTTTACCACTGAACCACATGCATAATGATAATAAGTCAGCTTCAATTCCATATTGGGATAAGAAATAACAATGCCTGAACTTCAGTTCCTTGAGTTCCTTCAATGATGTATGTGAAGCAACAATATGAACTCAGGTACCTGTATGTTCCAGAATTTCAGGATCACTCCTCATCTGTTTATTCCTTTGCCTTTCTGGAGCTTCCTTGCGACGTCTCTTTTCATCACTTAGCCTCCTTGAACACCTCCGCACTTTGCACTTTTTCCGTTGGACGGTCTCGGGGCACTGTGCTCCCCCAAACTGCGGCTCCAGTTTGATCATCCTGGTTCTGATCACATGCCCTTTCCCGCAAGACTTATTGCACTCTGACCATTCTGACCATTCAGAAACCATGCAGTCAGTGGCTGCAAATGAAACAAAAAGAATGAGCTTAAGTATTTCTCACGTCATAGAGAATTAAAAAAAAAATCACTGTTTCCTAATGCAAACCCAAAATAGCTGTCAACCTTGGGAAATTAAATTATCCAATCAAGTGAAATATGACTGATGAGAATAAGCAGTTCAAGAAATCCCAGACTTGCTCACAATGAATAATGTGCTCATTCTTGCTGAGTGAATTAATAGTTCTGTAAAGTGTAGACATTGATAGGGAAAAACACTTCTTCATTAATCGAAACAGTTAACTGTCTCCCATCTCTTAGTACTGTCTGTGCCCTAAATCTGTTCATGATGTGGTATTTGTCCCCTTTCTGTGTGATTCTCCTAGCACTGCTATTACATTCTTGAACTGAGCAGGAGATTAAATTGTTGATCTAGAAAATTATTTTCTTATCTCAAGTCCTCAGCTTCTTTTCCTCTCCATCACTCACCCCTTCTCCACTCTACCATTGCCATTAAGGCATTTGCTCTTCTGATTTTTTCTTTCCTTTTCGATTTTCTCTCCACTTTAAATTTCTCTCCTACATATGATCCCCAGTTTCTAGATTATTTGCTCGAATCAAACAACAATGGAATGAATGCTCCCCTTCTGTGCCTTATCATTCTCTGAATCAATGAAAGTCATTACACAA